CTGCGTAATTTGTACTTTCGTTGATTTAACTTCCTTAAAAAAAGATTAGGCCAATGTCTCACACCCACAGAAAAGGCATGTTGCACCCCATGCACCCCCACGGTGCCATAGACTCACACTGCCCATAAAATCACACTGCCCATAGACTCATACTGCCCATAAACTCACACTGCCCATAGACTCAGCACTGCCCATAGACTCATACTGCCCATAGACTTACACTGCCCATAGACTCATACTGCCCATAGACTTACACTGCCCATAGACTCATACTGCCCATAGACTTACACTGCCCATAGACTAACACTGCCCATAGACTTACACTGCCCATAGACTCAGCACTGCCCATAGACTCATACTGCCCATAGACTTACACTGCCCATAGACTCACACTGCCCATAGACTCAACACTGCCCATAGACTCAACACTGCACCATAGACTCTCACTGCCCATAGACTCTCACTGCCCATAGACTCACACTGCCCATAGACTCAACACTACCCATATACTAACACTGCCCATAGACTCAACACTGCGCATAGACTCAGCACTGCCCCATAGATTAAACACTGCCTATAGACTCAATACTACTCATAGACTTAACACTGCCCATAGACTCAGCACTGCCCATAGACTCAACACTGCCTATAGACTCAACACTGCTCATAGACTTAACACTGCCCATAGACTCAGCACTGCCCATAGACTCACATTGCCTATAGACTCACACTGCCTATAGACTCACACTGCCTATAGACTCAACACTGCCCATAGCCTCACACTGCCTATAGACTCAACACTGCCCATAGACTCACATTGCCCTATAGACTCAATACTGCCCATAGACTCAACACTGCCCATTGACTCACACTGCCCATAGACGCTCACTGCCCATAGACTCACACTGCCCATAGACTCAACACTGCACCATAGACTAACACTGCCCATAGACTCAACACTGCACCATAGACTCACACTGCCCATAGACTCAACACTGACCATAGACCCAACACTTCCCATAGACTCACACTGCCCATAGACTCAACACTGCCCATAGACTCTCACTGCCCATAGACTCACACTGACCATAGACTCACATTGCCCATAGACTCACACTGCCCATAGACTCACACTGCCATAGACTCAACACTGCCATAGACTCTCACTGCCCATAGACTTACACTGCCCATAGACTCATACTGCCCATAGACTTACACTGCCCATAGACTCAGCACTGCCCATAGACTCATACTGCCCATAGACTTACACTGCCCATAGACTCAGCACTGCCCATAGACTCATACTGCCCATAGACTTACACTGCCCATAGACTCACACTGCCCATAGACTCAACACTGCCCATAGACTCAACACTGCACCATAGACTCAACACTGCCCATAGACCCAACACTGCCCATAGACTCACACTGCCCATAGACTGAACACTACCCATATACTAACACTGCCAATAGACTAGGCACTGCCCCATAGACTCAACACTGCCTATAGACTCAACACTACTCATAGACTTAACACTGCCCATAGACTCAGCACTGCCCATAGACTCACATTGCCTATAGACTCACACTGCCTATAGACTCACACTGCGTATAGACTCAACACTGCCCATAGACTCACACTGCCTATAGACTCACACTGCCCATAGACTCAATACTGCCCATAGACTCAACACTGCCCATTGACTCACACTGCCCATAGACTCTCACTGCCCATAGACTCACACTGCCCATAGACTCAACACTGCACCATAGACTCACACTGCCCATAGACTCAACACTGCGCCATAGACTCACACTGCCCAAAGACTCAACACTGCCCATAGACTCTCACTGCCCATAGACTCACACTGACCATAGACCCAACACTTCCCATAGACTCACACTGCCCATAGACTCACATTGCCCATAGACTCACACTGCCCATAGACTCAACACTGCCCATAGACTCAACACTGCACCATAGACACAGAGACACATAGACTCACACAGAGACACATAGACTCACACAGAGACACACAGACTCACACAGAGACACATAGACTCACACAGAGACCCATAGACTCACACAGAAACCCATAGACTCGCACAGAGACCCACAGACTCACACAGAGACTCATAAACTCACACAGAGACTCATAAACTCACACAGAGACCCATAGACTCACACAGAGACTCATAAACGCACACAGAGACTCATAAACTCACACAGAGACCCATTGTTTGTGGTCCTTACCCCAGCACCTCCGATTGGCACGGTTGGCTACGTACGGCGCGAAAGAAGTTCAACATCCATATGGTCGAGGTGGTCGAGGTGGTGGAGGGGGGGTGCCAATTGAAGCTCCGCGCAGGATGGATTCAAGAATCCGTGTCATTGCAACGACAAGCCTACGTGCGTATAGACGCCTGGTTATCCCCCGCCCCCAAATCCGAGTAACTAACCAGGTCAAAAGCTACAAGAAAAGCAAACAACAACAAAAACAAACAACAAAATAAACAACAACAAAAACAAACAACAAAAACAAACAACAAAACAAACAACAACAAAAACAACAACAAAAACAAACAACAAAACAAACAACAAAACAAACAACAACACAAACAACAACAAAACAAACAGCAACAAAACAAACAGCAACAAAACAAACAACAACAAAAACAAACAACAACAAGAACAAACAACAACAAAAACACAACAAAAACAAACAACAACAAAACAAACAACAACAAAACAAACAACAAAAACAAACAACAACCAAACAAATAACAACAAAAAAACAACAACAAAAAACTAAAAAAAACGAAAACCTCGCTCAGACTCCCAGATGGGGCCCGCATCACGCCCGGGCCATTTGGTGTGTGGGGAACGCGGCGTGGGTGAGACTCGTGCTGCACCCAGAGGTCGCCGTCTGGAGTGGAGATAACAACCCCCGCGGTGCCCCCCCCCCCCCCCCCCAGGGACTCCGTTCAAAGTGAGATAGAAATCCAAGCGTCCGATGCAGGCGATACCCCTACCCACACCCCACCCCACCTCTCCCCTCGCCTCCCCGTGTCTCCCCGAGACACCGTTCGAGACGATGCTCACAACACGCGTACGGAGAGACTCTGCGAGGATTCATATTCTTAGCTTGTTTCGGTAAAGTCACGTAGAAGGGAAATAATAAAATAATACAAATATAAAACAATTGAAAAAATTGTAAAAAAAAAGTTTTCCTCTCTCGCGAGCGAGCGAGGGGGATTCATAGTAAATGTTTCCATGCGGGTGAGATCGCCAAAGTAGAAATGCGTGGGGGGCCCTCCGCCACCCGACACGGTCACTCGGCGCGGGATTTGTCGCGTAAACAAAACGGCAAACTTCAGCCCACCCGGTGCGTTGAAGAGTGAATCCACAACATTTGCAGCAATCTGAGCGCGACGTTTTGGCCGCACAATTACATCCAGAATCTTCTTGGTTCTTTCGGTAAAAGTCATCACGTAGAAGGGAAATAATAAAATAATAAAAATAAAACATAATAAAATATAATTCTCACGACGTTTCGGCCACAACGCAAGCAGCCGTCCTCGGGTGAAGAACAGGTCTGTCGAAATTTTACATCCAGAATTCCATGAATAATATTTGGTCGCGAAAGCCTCCGCGTTTAATAGAGCACGATGGCAGTCTGCAGCGTGGCCTTGTTTAAAGGGGGGGGGCTCGCGGGGGAGAAGGGGGGGAGGTTGGTGCATTGACAGACTCTGGCTGGGTGGCGGGGGGCATGCACGACACGTGGCAGACGTTACCGATGTGAGTCAAATACGAAACGCTTTGAGACGCCGCGCGTACGAGGTGGAACGGCTGCGACTTATTTGGCGTTGCGTTTTGTCCACCCGCCCACCAGCCCGCAGTATTCAGGAAAAGACGTTGTTGACATAATTTAGAAATGGGTTTGGGGGTGCGAGGGAGCTCAGCTCCCTCCCAGCCTCCCTCGACGCCACGGAGGGCTGCTTGGAAGAGACGCCTTGGTCGTGCACGGCAGAGAGACACACGCAGAGATAGAGAGATGGAAAGAGACACAGAGAGAGCGAGACACAAAGAGATGCAGAGAGACAAGAGACACACAGAGACAGAGAGAGAGATGGAGAGAGACACAGAGAGATAGAGAGAGACAGAGAGAGATAGAGAGAGACACACACAGAGACGGAGAGACACACAGAGAGATGGAGACAGACAGAGAGAGACACAGAGACATGGAGAGAGACAGAGACACAGAGAGACAGAGACACACAGAGACAAAGAGAGACACAGAGAGTTGGAGAGAGACAGAGAGAGACACACAGAGAGACAGAGAGAGTCACACACAGAGACAGAGAGACGGAGAGAGACGCACAGAGAGATGCAGAGAGACAGAGAGAGACACAGAGACAGAAAGATACACACAGAGGGATGCAGAGAGACAGAGAGAGACAGCGAGATACACACAGAGAGACAGAGATAGAGACACAGAGAGAGGCACACAGAGGCAGAGAGAGAGACACACAGAGAGATGCAGAGAGACAGAGAGACATACAGAGACAGAGAGAGACACAGAGAGATGGAGAGACACAGAGAGAGACACACACACAGAGAGAGAGGCACACAGAGAGATCGAGACGGAGAAATAGAGAGGAGGAAAGACAAGACGGAGGAAGAAAGGAAGATGGGAACATAGGGAGAGTTGGAGGAAAGGAAAGATCGAACAGAGGGAGATGAGAAGGTAGAGAGAGAGAGAGAGGTGGATGAATAGTTTGATACAAAGCAAAACACCTAAATACAGACGTGGACAGCGACAGGCAAGTACACAGACAGAGGCATCGGGATGTAGAGACAGCGTTGGAGAGACGGACGGACGCATCTCGAGACGCCAAAAGCGACACGGAGAGTGAGAGCAAGAGAGAGGAGGAGGGGGAGGAGGAGGAGGGGTCGGAGGCGACGGGAGATGATGGCACAACCGACGCAGCCGACTCACTTCCAGTCGCGACGTTGATGATGGTCTCGGTGGTGGCGAGATTATCTCTGTCCAGTTTGCGAGACTCCAACAGGTCCTGGTATCCGTAATGGTCCAGCAGCTGCTGCAAAGGCGGTGCCTTGGGCAGGAGTCTGTTGACGGTGTCCCGACTGATGTTGGGCGCTTGCTTGAGCCTCAGCTCGCTCAGGATCTGAGACCTGATGGACTCAAGACGCCAGACTTTGCTGTGTTCCCTCCTGGAACACATCGAGCAGTTTCCGTCCAGATCCAGTAGCGAGAGGTCGCTGGTGCCTGCTGCTTCCACGCCGTCGTGCGTGGCATTGTGGTGGCTGCTACTGCTGCTGCTACTGCTGCTACTGCTGCTGCTGCTACTGCTGCTGCTGCTCCCAAGTTTGCTTTGACTCTGCATGAGACCAATCGTCAGCGCGCAGAGAAGGTTTGAGATGAAAAGTAGCGAATGCATTGTTGTAGTTGAGGCTTGAACTTTGTTTTCGCTGTTGCTGCTGGTGATGATGATGCTGTTGATGATGAGTCTGCTGCTGTTGCTGCTGCTGATGATGATGATTCTGCTGCTGATGATGCTGCTGCTGCTGACGATGATGATGCTGCTGCTGCTGATGATGATGAAGCTGATGCTCCTGCTGCTGCTGATGATGCTGCTGCTGCTGGTGATGATGATTATCCTGCTGCTGCTGATGATGCTGTTGCTGCTGATGCTCCTGCTGCTGACGATGATGATGCTGCTGATGATGATGAAGCTGATGCTCCTGCTGATGATAATGCTGCTGTTGCTGCTGCTGCTGATGATGCTGATTAGAGATGAGCCCCCCTCGCCTCTTTGCAACGACGACGACGACGACACCAAGCGCTGCCGTGATGTTGCACCGAGCTCCACTGGACATCTAAATGACACGCATGCAACCCATGAGGTCTCTTATATATATTATCAGCTGCTCTTCATTATAGCGAGAGAGCGTGCCAGCCATTGGCTGATGTTCCCACAAAGGACTGCGCCCGCAATGTTAATAGCTTTGCCAATCTAAAAAGCCGGACGCCTTCCGCAAGCCGACGTTTATTGCGCCGTCAAAAAATATTAAAATGTACGCGCGCACGGCACCCCCCCCCCCTCTCCCCCACCCACACTGTTGTCAATCTACTGCTGGATGAAAGGGTTGTAACACCGCCCTCCCCCCGCCCCCCTTCTACTCCACGTTCATCAAACAACAAAACAACTCCGATGACTTTGTCAGTCATTGCAGGGGGCGGTGGGGAGCGGTGGAAGGGGGGGGTTGACCATATTTCACCACAATGGTTTGGAGGTTTGGAGATGGAGGAGGAGGGGGGTGGGGGGTGGGGGGGGAACGAACCCAGGACCGGTTCGGATAGAACGTCGCTCGCCGCCGATGTTAGTCGCGGCTGGGAATCGAACTCCGGGGTCGTCCGTCGGATCTGGCCCGTAGCGCTAACCGCAGCGCCACCGCTCCTCACGAATAACGCACGGGTAATGTCCACACCAGCTCCCCCCACCATCATCCAACACCACCCACCACCAGCCACAACCCACCCACCACCACCACCTACCCAACACCACCACCCACCACCACCCACCGCCCACCACCACCCACCCACCACCACCCACCCAACACCACCCACCACCACCCACCCACCTCCCCCCACCACCACCACCTACCCACCAATACCCACTCACCACCCACCAACCTCTCCCCACCACCACCTCCCCCCACCACCACCGCCACCACCCACCCACCGATCTCCCCCCACCACCACCCACCCACAACCACTCACTCACCCACCACCACCCACCACCACCACCCACCACCACCTCCCCCCACCACCACCGCCACCACCTTCCCAAAACCGAACGCGGAGTGCGATGCTTTAGTGTTTATTTGCGTATAACGACCGAGAGAGAGCCAGCGAGAGAGAGAGAGAGAGGTGCGCGCACATCGGCAGCGCCTCTGCACCGCTCTCCGTGCCAGGATGAAGTTCGTTTTCCTTAGATCTTCGCACGCGTTCCCTTCGAAACGCCCTTGGCATCGCGAGACGCGTTGCGCGGCGTTTCCTTTGTGTGTACCGCGTGCTGTCGCCCCGCGCTCTTCATCCAGCAGTGGAGCGACAGGGCACGCGCACGGCACGACGCGCATGTTTACTGCATGTTCAGTTAAGTCTTCTTGGTTCTTTCGGTAAAGTCACGGAGAAGGGAAGTAATAAAATAAGAAAAATAAAACACAATATTTTTTTTTCTTATGTTTTATTTATTTTATTATGTTTTATTTTTATTATTTTATTACTTCCCTTCTACGTGACTTTACCGAAAGAAATAAGAATATGAATCCCTGCAGTCACGAAAGCTTTAAATCGAAGTTCAGTTAAGTGTTTAGTCCACGTGTGTGTGCATCCCCCTCCGCGCGCGCGCCTTGGGTGGCAAGCTAGTGGGAGAGAGAGAGAGAACCAGGGAGACACTTTGATTATACTTCACCGCTGTGGTCAATGCGAGTTGGTGAAGAAGGCGTTGTTTATTGGATGGGGGAGGTGGGTGTGGGGAGGTGTGTACAATTAGATTTTGCTGCAGTGCCCTCTGCTGGCCACAGTAGACTCTACAGGGACTCCTCTGCGTACGAAAGATCGACTTGAGAACTTTCAGAGGTTACGAACAAACCTGTCCGTATGTCCAGTTGCCCGTCATTCATTTAAAGAGTCGTTAAGTTCAACCTCCGCGCAATAGATGGCGGTGGTGGCATCTGCAGAACGTGGAGAACCAGTGGCATCTACATTTGCAGAACGTGAAGAACCAGTGGCATCTACATCTGCAGAACGTGAAGAACCAGTGGCATCTACATCTGCAGAACGTGAAGAACCAGTGGCATCTACATCTGCAGAACGTGAAGAACCAGTGGCATCTGCAGAACGTGAAAAACCAGTGGCATCTACATCTGCAGAACGTGAAGAACCAGTGGCATCTACATCTGCAGAACGTGAAGAACCAGTGGCATCTACATCTGCAGAACGTGAAGAACCAGTGGCATCTACATCTGCAGAACGTGAAGAACCAGTGGCATCTACATCTGCAGAACGTGAAGAACCAGTGGCATCTGCAGAACGTGAAGAACCAGTGGCATCTACATCTGCAGAACGTGAAGAACCAGTGGCATCTACATCTGCAGAACGTGAAGAACCAGTGGCATCTACATCTGTAGACGTGAAGAATCAGTGGCATCTGCATCTGCAGAATGTGTAGAACCAGTGGCATCTACATCTGCAGAATGTGTAGAACCAGTGGCAACTACATTTTCAGAACGTGAAGAATCAGTGGCATCTACATCTGCAGAACGTGAAGAACCGGCGGCATCTACATCTGCAGAATGTTAAGAATTAGTGGCATCTACATCTGCAGAACGTGAAGAACCAGTGACATCTACATCTGCAAAACGTGAAGAACAAGTGGCATCTACATCTGTAGAACGTGAAGAACCAGTGGCATCTACATCTGCAGAACGTGAAGAACCAGTCACATTTACATCTGCAGAACGTGAAGAACGAGTGACATCTATATCTGCAGAACGTGAGGAACCAGTGGCATCTACATTTGCAGAACGTGAAGAACCTGTGGCATCTACATCTGCAGAACGTTAAGAATTAGTGGCATCTACATCCGCAGAACGTGAAGAACCAGTGGCATCTACATCTGCAGAACGTGAAGAACCAGTAGCTTCTACATCTGTAGACGTGAAGAACCAGTGGCATCTACATCTGCAGAACGTGAAGAACCAGTGGCATCTACATCTGCAGAACGTGTAGAACCAGTGGCATCTACATCTGCAGAACGTGAAGAACCAGTGGCATCTACATCTGCAGAACGTGAAGAACCATTGGCATATTCATCTGCAGAACGTGAAGACACAGTGGCATCTACATCTACAGAACATAAAGAACCAGTAGTAGTAGTGTAGTAGTATATAGTAGTTTAGTATATAATGCAGCATAGTAGTCTATAATGTATAGTAGAACTGTACAAGCCGTACAACACGTTTGGAATCGACGGGAGTAAAGTTGGACCTTACGAACAAATCGACTTACGAACAGATCGACTTACGAACAAATCGACTTACGAACAAATCGACTTACGAACAGAGTACCTCTGGAACCGAACTCCGTTCGTAAGTAGAGGCAGTCGCAATAACGCCTGTCGTTTTGGGCACAGCTGTGGTCACCCATCCAAGGCGTTGTATATCCAGGCTCGTAGCCAGCTGAGCTTACCACCTCTGCCGTGATGGAGCAGGGCGATTTGCGGGTGATTGTTTCGGGTTTTCGGGGTTCGCAGCGTGTGCGTTCCATTTGAAACGGCCGCACGCATGCTAATTTCTCACACTAACATCACTAGCCCCGGCCACTTCTTTAAGACCCTTGGGCTACATCCATTTCAAACCTTTTAAAAACAGTCTGACTCAGCAGCAGACCATGCTTTCCCACCTGATGACGGACGCTTGTGTTGCGCCCGAAACGTCGTGATTGATTTAATTTTCTACCCACGTGACTTTACCGAAAGAACCAACAAGTATGGATTCCTGCAAGTCACGAAAGCTTCAAATCAAGATTGATTCGCTTCTTGTCGATGGTTTTGCGTGTGTGTATTTTTCTTTCTCTCTCTGTCTCACTCACTCCACTGCTGGATGAAAAGCCCTCCTGCGTACGTGTCGCGTGACCCACGCAGCCGCTAGAGGCCGCTACATCGCCACGATTGTGCGAGTAGAACTGGGGTGATCTCATATCCAACCAAGCTCAAATTCCGCTTAGCCTCGCTTATTTTACGTTTTCAAATCATACTCATCAGCTAGATGGTTCTAAAATGAGCTCTTCTAAATTTGCCCGCACATTGTGATTGGCACGGTTTTATTACTGGTAGGAACCTCCTGGTTACACCAGCCCACAGGGGATTATTGTGTCCGTCGTGCAGGGAGGGGCTGGGTGGGGAGGGAGGGGCTGGGTGGAGAGGGGAGGGTGGGGAGGGGCTGGGTGGGGAGGGTGGGGCTGGGTGGGGGGTGGGAGGGGAGGGTGGGGAGTGGCTGGGTGAGGAGGGTGGGGCTGGGTGGGGGGTGGGAGGGGAGGGGAGGATGGGGAGGGGCTGGGTGGGGAGGGTGGGGCTGGGTGGGGGGTGGGAGGGGTGAGGAGGGTGGGGAGGGGCTGGGTGGGGAGGGTGGGGCTGGGTGGGGGGTGGGAGGGGAGGGGAGGGTGGGGAGGGGCTGGGTGGGGAGGGTGGGGCTGGGTGGGGGGTGGGAAGGGTGAGGAGGGTGGGGAGGGGCTGGGTGGGGAGGGTGGGGCTGGGTGGGGGGTGGGAGGGGTGAGGAGGGTGGGGAGGGGCTGGGTGGGGAGGGTGGGGCTGGGTGGGGGGTGGGAGGGGAGGGGAGGGTGGGGAGGGGCTGGGTGGGGAGGGTGGGGCTGGGTGGGGGGTGGGAGGGGAGGGAATGGTGGGGAGGGGCTGGGTAGGACTTTACCTAAATAACCAAGAAGATGAATCCCTGCAGTCACGAAAGCTTTAAATCGAAATTTAATTATATTTTATTATGTTTACTTTTATTATTTTATTATTTCCCTTCTACGTGACTTTACCGAAAGAACCAAGAAGATGAATCCCTGCAGTCACGAAAGAAGCTTTAAATCGAAATTTAATTATATTTTATTATGTTTTATTTATTATTTTATTATTTCCCTTCTACGTGACTTTACCGAAAGAACCAAGAAGATGAATCCCTGCAGTCACGAAAGAAGCTTTAAATCATCATCATCATCATCATCGTGTATACACATCGTCATCAGCAGCTGCTGCTGATGGGGGTCCGCCCCACCCACACCTCCTCGTCCAGCA